GCACAATGGAAATGGGATTGATTAACGCCAAAATACTTTATCTATGCAGCCTTTCAGTGATATCATCGTCGACATAGGTGTGTGATTTCTATAAGGGATCGGTAAAGAATATCGTCATTCCTCGTCTCTATGCAGGACCATTGTGTTTAGAATCATGAAGTTTGAAATGTTCGTTCACAATCAGACTTTTTTTTGGATGCGTCACACATTCGTCTCTAATTCAGAACCATGATGAATAACTCGAATTATACATTCACGTTCTTTCAGAAGTTTAGGGTTCGAGTTCTGAAGACAAATGATGATTAAGGCAGTTTTTTTGTCCTGCTCTGCTGTGTTCGGTGACATCAACCTACTAGGGATGGAAAGAATAGGTTAACCGAAAGGTATGGATTGTTGAGGACTGGTTACTTTTATTACTGTATTTCGCAGTAATCAGTGATTTTTTCCGGAATGTTCTTTAATAAAGTACCATAAGTATTGCCATTCACAAATTTTAATTTAAATGAAGACAAATCAAAGAAGTAGTTCAACCTGAGCTTCGCACGTGCTTTAGATAGATAGTTACAACAAAAAATACAGAAATAAAAAATACAAAAATACAAAATGAAGACAAATCAAAGAAGTAGTTCAACCTGAGCTTCGCACGTGCTTTAGATAGATAGTTACAACAAAAAATACAGAAATAAAAAATACAAAAATACAAAACAGGGTGAAGGGCCTATTAACCAGCAGAAAATATGAGAAGAGAACGAACCTACAAAGGCAAGAGGGGCATCTTATCCAAGTAATTGAACTTAACCTGACTAGGGAATCAAGTAGTTGCCTAACTAGTATTATCATAGTATGTGTATAATATTCTAATAAGTGGTTTATATCTTGAGCCGTATTTATACAGTATAAATTTATCACTGGCTAAGCACTTTACAAGACCTGTAGTATGAATATCCTCACTATATCCCATTTGGCAGGTTTGATATCCCATGGGCTTTGATTTGCCTAGAAAATTACTTTTATATGTGCAAGTTCTAGCAATTCTTAAACGTTTTGAGTATATGGTGCTATGTTTAATACTTCTGGAAATATTGGTGTAATGTGGGAAACGTTTGACGAGAAGCGTTTTTATAAACTGTGTTATTATAGCTTGTTTGAGCTCTGGTAGAATTCTATCAGTATCTGCATTATGTATAATAAGTAAATCGTCTATATACCTAAAAGGTATTTATTCGAGTCTTAATGCGGTGTTTCTCAGCATTGAAGATTCATATCCAAATAAATACAACATCATGTCTGCTTACAAAGGAGCTGCATTACTAACTCGAGGAACCTCCTCTTTTGTATGAATGAATATCATGCAAATTCGCAATAACTATTCACGCCGAAACTTGTGCCAAGTGTTTGGTCTTGAAGCCCTTCTAAGCAGTTCTGTATACGCTTCGTTCCGACGTTTCATGGTTTGGGACAAAAAATTGGAGTAAAAGCTTCGATATGGTCGACCGATTGGGGTGTCATGAAATATCTGGCTAGGTTTTGCACATACAAAGGAGTGCTGTTCTGCTATACTATTTCTATTGAAAGGCTCATTCCGGGTCAATTTTAAGGTATCTAGCTCTGACGTGTGGTATAATAGAAGTAATAGTCCAAAACATTGCAAAAAAAGGTCCGATCGGGCTCCGAAAAAGAATTAAAATTAGTGGTGGTAAAACATTACGAAAAAAATGCATGGAAGGGGCAATTGGACGAGCCGCTCGATCGCGCGCGCCATTGCCTACAGTTTGCTGCAATGCAGCCTGCTTGTAAACTATAGGCTCCGGTGCGAATGGTGCTCGTCCGGCTTTTGCAGCTTTTGCAACGCTTAAGAACTCGTCCGCTTTTGGTATGTACGTTGGTTAGGAATATCGAGGGAGTAGTGAAGAAGGCAAAGGAACTCTTTGAGTGAAGCAGGAGCTTTCTTCAATTGAGTAGTTTCTTCTGGAGGATGGCCTGTTCGTAGGAGCTGGTGCTATGATACCACAGATCGGAGCATCGACATTTAGTTCCTTGGAGGAGTTAGATTTCGTTTTTTCCACTTAATCGAAGTAAAATGAGTCGAAGTACTCGTTATTACATAATCAAGTTGGATCATATTAGGTCGTGAAGAAAGTTCTTGCGGTTTTGCGCCTCAAACTTCAAATGCATATATCTCGGCTTGAACGAAACTTCATCAATCGAAATAACAACCATTACTATCGACACACTTTGTTAACGAAAAACAAGTTCGAGTATCCCATTCGCATAGAAGTCTGGAAATCTAGAGGCGATGAAATCGTCGAATGCCGCGGCAGCATCATGTTGGGTTTTGAAGCATTTCTCCTTGAGAAAGCGTCGAGATGTTTAAAGAAATGGTATTCTGTGGGAGCAAGGTCTGGGGAATATGGTGGATGCGGGAGGGCTTCATAGCCTAGCTCCATCAATTTTCTCAGGGTAAGTTGTGCGACGTGAGGCCGAGCGTTGTCGTGGAGTAGAATTGGCCCCCTCCTATTCACCAGTGCCGGGCTCATGAGCTGGAGTTTTCGATGCATTTCGTCAATTTCTTGACAGAACTTTT